TTTATTATCAACGTGTAGTATTAGAATTATACAATATATATTTATCATCAACGTGTAGTATTAGAAATATACGATATATATTTATCATCAACGTGTAGTATTATAAATATACAATATATATTTCGTCAGTATTGCATCTTCCAGGTTTAGGTGAGGAGTATGCCAAAGACATAAAACATCCGTCGCAATTACGTCATTACGGTTTAAAATGCAGATTTCAAACTATGGTGAGCGCCCTGTGAGTTCATTTTACATCTACTAGTAGCATAGTTTAGATGTAGATGTAGACTGGATGCTATATATTGGTAAGGCTTTGGAAAAATCTACGAAGGACTCTCTGCTCAGTAAATGACAGGATTCCAGGTTACTTGTGGTGGGATTACGCAGATATTAGAGACTGTCTATGGCCTATTGATGTGTAGCAACAAAACACGTAAAGTGTTGGTCATAAAACGATGGCTATTCTGTTCTAATTTCACGATGAATGAACTTGTCACGTGCCGAATAGCACACGTTTCGAAAACCTCGTCTAAACGCGCTCGTACGAGTCAAAAAATGAACCCGTTTGGGCCCGCTTCTTGGACCTGCGGGACCATCCTTGGCATTTACTGAGTTATGAACGCTCGGATCCGATGTGGAAATTAATAATAACTGTAACTGACTTTAATTACAAATTTCGATCGATTACCATCGTGAAACAAGTTTTAAGAGCGACCTCATTCAGATGCCTACACCGCTGACATTCTCAAAGGCGGAGCTACGTCACGATCCCGGACTTTGCCAGGGCCAATCATAAGCAAGAACAAACAATAGTTTTTCGAATTAATACATTACGTCACGCTAACGAAACAATCATTTCTCTTCTTCCGACATCCTCTTCATATGAAATATATTGGGAACCCTCTCACATTCACAAATGTTTGATTTCGCCGAATGCTTGCAGACGATATGTCGAGAAGTGTCGTACATTTCACTAGATGCCTCGTGGAATGTATATTTACGCGTGGGGCTTTTTTTCAAAATAAGTTTACAAAATATGTTCTTACTGTTATTTGTTATGAGGTGTGTTTTTACTTGACTTCAATTTAATGACGTCACTGTAAACGATGTCGGGAAATGACCATAGATGGCGCTGTCTAAAATAAGTTACTGCGTTACAATAGTGACAGCATGTCACACTAAGGTACAAGTAGAATAACAAAACTAATGTAAAGAAACACGTGGATGTAGGTGGACATCACTGACTAATAGACCGGAGGGGAGGTGGTGCATTCCAGCACAGCGAATGCGGGGTGATGCTTATGATTATTACATACTGTATGCCAATAAAGTATTCCTGGGAGCGAACGTACTCTGCGCTAGTTGTCGAAACTCTCCTAAACAGTTTAACAAGAGTACCCCTATATGTGCAACTTGTGTAAATTCGGTTGTTCAGGATTATCTCAATGTTGAGTTTGTGCTGTTTATTTTACTTCAGCTGTTTGCGACCGACGTTCCACAGCAGCTTTTGCCCAGAGTCCGTAGAAACAGCAGTGAGCGTCCGAGCAACACGGAACGTTCTGTGACGCAGCTCCGTCCCTGGGAATATACACCATACAATACAATTATG